CCATTGCAGAACGATAAACGGGGTTTTGGAAAGTCTGTCTTTCTGGCGATCACATGCTCTCCTCCAGAAGCGAATCACATCACTTTCAATCCCAGTCCAGCGGCCAGAACGAATAAAATTGTCCCACCAGTAAATTTAGCCTTTCGTGTGCCCAGATAATGTGATGTTGGAGAGCAAACATAATGACTATCTCCATGGCCAAGAGAAACTGTGAGGAGGTGCTCTTGGCAGGTATGTCAACCTCCTAAGAGACATGTGAGTAGAAGGTAGACTACATATACCAACATTTGCCACCAAGAGTTTCATGGAGAAGAATAGGGCTTCTTTAGATGAAATCCTTTTTCACAGAAGCCAGATGAATGGGGAAGAGATATTTCCCTTTGACAAGACCCATTGTGAAAATGTGACATTGGGTTCAATTGGAATTAAACATTAAGCCTAATTTGAGTTAGGTATTCATCTGAAACCATGGGCAGCCTCATGTGGAGAAATACAGTGTATAGAGCTTGCCAAATATGTAGAAGACTTCCAATAAATAACTCAAGTGGGTTCTAGAAATTACAATGTGGTATTGGCAATCCTCAAAGAATAAAGAAAGAAAGTGGTTGTGCAACCTAATTTTTACATAGCTTTTTCCATTGGGAAAGTTGGGATGACTAACAGTGTAATATGCTTGTGTATCATGGTATTCATTTTCTTTGATAAGCTTTTTAAAAAATAGGTACATACAGAAAAGGATTGAATAGCCTGATATATTTTCACAAAATGAATATATCTGGATAATCAGCACTCGGGTCAAAAATCAGAACATCGCTGTCACCTCAGAGGGCCCCTTGTGTTTTCTTTCAGTCACTAACACCAACACCAACCTATACACTATGGATGGTGATTCTACTTTCGGGAAGGGGAGAGGGAGTGGAAGCAGAAAGAAAGAAGAAATATCATGTTTTACCATGTATTGTTGTAATTGTGCACAAAAAGAATATGACATATATTACCTTTGAAATAAAACAGTGTTTTAAAGGTTGCAGCCACTTTAGACCCTCCTCTCTTGATCCAGTGATTTTCTCCTGATAATCCTGTGTTACATCAAATTGCACGCAGATTCAGTAGTTAAGAGCATGGCTTCTGGAGTAATATAGAAAAGACTTGAAGTCATATCTTACCAAAATCTTCATGACAATAATTAATTAATTAAGGATTAAATGAGCGCATCTTTGTAGAGTACTCGATATAGCACCTGAAACATACTAATGGCTCTATAAATTGTACCTGTTATAATTTTGTAGGAGAAAAATGTCAGGTAACTGGCTTTTGGATGTCGAAGAATATACTCTATTTCAATCATTAAATTAAAATGCAGTTATTTCATCTGGGCACGGTGGCTCACACCTGTAATCCCAGCCCTTTGGAAGGCCGAGGTGCGTAGATCATCTGAGGTCAGGAGTTCAAGACCAGCCTGGCCAACATGGTGAAACCCTGGCTTTACTAAAAATACAAAAGTTAGCTGGGTCTGGTAGTGGGCGCCTGTAATCCCAGCTACTCGGGAGGCTGAGGCAGGAGAATCGCTTGAACCTGGGAGGCGACAGTTGCAGTGAACCGAGATCACGCCATTGCACTCCAGCCTGGGCAACAGAGCAAGACTCTATCTTTTCACTCTGAAGAGTTGAAGATAATAAGTGGTACTCACCATTCACAGAGTCCGAGAAACACAGAGCTAGCCAAAAGCATCTCAGAAATCATCAGATTCCTTTATTTATTACGCAAATGAATAAACTGAAACTAAGACAGTCAATGATTTATTTATACTCACGCCAAGAACCAGATTTCAATTTCTCTGACTCCCAGTCCAGCACTTTCTCCCACTAAACCATGATCCATTCACTCAGCCATATGCTAATAGAGCTAACAGTTATTGAGTGTCTTATGAGTACATGCCAGTAAAATTCAGACCAAAATGCCTATCCCAGGAAAAGGTGAAAAAACACTTTCTATTAGATCAGGCTGACTTATTTCCATTTATTCCATCAGCAGCATCTGTGCTTACTGGAAAGAATTGCAAAGAGATTACCTAAGTATTAGAAGATTGCTAATATATGGTATTAAAAATTAATCCTGTTTTTGAATATATTGAACAAGATGGGATCTTATCAGCCATCTGCTGCTGAGTCCTCTGTTGTCCCAATTACTTATATTTATGCTAATGAAAACTCATTTCTCAAGCCTCCAAAACTCTTATTCTTCTCTATTCCTTGTACACACCCTATCCAGAGAAAGGGATTAAGACTGAAATTAGAGAGTTGCAAATTCAACTTTAGTGGACAAGTGTAAGAAGACAGATTTGCGACCTGAGGAAAAAAAGAAGTAGGTGTTCTAGAAAAATATCCTCAAGTATTGGCTTGGAAGGGGAAACTTGTGATTGCACTGAGAAAAGAAGTTTGGCCTTGTATTTGAATCCTGGTTTCTCCGGGTTGAATCCAACTGTTAATTCTGTAGCCTTGTCAGTCCCTTCCTTTGACTTGCCATTCATTGTCTTGTCCCCAGAGAGCCTTGCATAACTGATCTGTGACTCTGTCATATAATTTTCACAAACTACCAAAGAGAGGATTTCGAATTGTTAAAAACATAAGGAAAGCTGTATTGTTTCAGCCATTCAGCATACAGCGCAGCTAAATCAGCTTCATAATTGTAACTTTTATTGTTCTCTTTTAAGTCTTATTGACAAATCAGGGAAAACTTTTTCCTTTAAAAAATTTTAAGATTGAGAAGAGTACATTTCCTGTATTTTCTTTTAATAAATAGAAAGGAATGCTGAGATCAGTAAAGAGGGTGCATTAGAGATGTATACATTAGCAGAGCAAAAAAATATAAATATTTAATACATAGGGATGAACATAAGGGAGTAGAAAACCCATTTTTTTCTTGACCACTACATGCATTTAATCAAATGACCATATATTTTGTGTTCTTTCAACAGCATAACACATGGAGATAGCATCAGTAATTCCGGTACCTACTTTATTAATGGATCCTTTTTTCCTCAAACAGTATGTAAACAAACGGCAGTTATGGGATAATCTTGTTGGTGTATTCTTGAGAATAGGTAATATCACCCCATCACCTTCTATAAAGCACTTCAAAGAGATGTATTCCCGGTGTATGCATTAATATACTGACTCTTAAAAGTGAAACATTATTGAAAACACACAAGAATCAGTGTCAAAACAAACTGTGCTTTCCACTTTAGTAGTCTGGCTTCTTTATAAGCATACCATTTTTTAAGGAATCTCATTCAACAAAGCATTAAAAACCTGGTGGCTAATGATTCTAAAGAATTCATTAACCTGGAACATAAAGTTCCCCTTTTTCTCTGTTTACATTCTTCACAGTGAACAGATACATTGAGTTATAACATCCAAAGAAAAAAAGATTTAGAAATTCTGTCTAAAGTAATTTTAACCACTCATTATGAAATACAGCATTCACAAAACGTACATGAAACACAAATGAAGAGTTTGGTGTTTTATATTTATAAAGCAAACGGCTATATCTACCACCCAGGTCAAGACACAGGACACTACTGGCCCTGTAGATGTCCATGAGTCTCTTCTTGAACATACCTTTCTCTCTCAACAAGAAATAACCAGCACCATAACTTTTATTATAATATCTCTTTTTTTCATACTATCATCACTGATATGCTCATCCCTAAAAATATAGTTTAGTTTTGTCCATTTTGATTACAGTGTATTATTTTGTGCTTTGTTTTCTTTTTTCAATATTATACTTGCATGTTTTATCCATGTAGTTGCATAGAGTTGTAATTTGCTCACTTGTTTACATGCTGTGTACAATTTCATCACATAAATGTACAAAATGTGTTTATTACTCTAACGTTGACAGATACATGGTTTCTTCCCAGTTTTTGGATATCAGATTCAATTCTGCTCAGAATATTCTTGCCATGTATCCTGGTATGTATGTGCATAACTTTGCTAGAGCACTTATGGAATTCAGTAAGTGCTACAAATTGCATTGTGTTTCGTTGGTGCTGTTTTCCCAAGAGCCACTTTTAAAACTTTTATCAGCTGCATTAAGCATATCTTCTTATTCTGATGTTTTCAAATCTTGGGGCCTTGCTGACACTAGAAGAGACAGCTTTTCCCAGGGTTTCCTAATTTCTAAGGATAGAATGACTCACCTGGCACTATGTGTTTCGTATAAAAACTAATCAATCCAAAGCACATACCTCACGACTTCCTCCTTTAGCTCTTACACTCTGGGCTACTAGTTACCTACCCTAGGGCCAGGTACCAGACAAGGGGACGGCCCCTATTTCCTAGAACCTACTAAAAGTAATCAAACTAGCCAATTCTAAATCTGCTTACCCTGCCACCCCATTCCCTCCCACAAAAAGCACGTAACAGGCTCTTGCACAGGCTTTCTCTCATTCCCTTTGCCTCCTGATTGACCCTGCTGTTTCCGCATGTGGCTCTGCATGGCGTGCTGTACCTCCTGTTTCTGGGGATCTGTGAGTATAACAACTTCTTCTTTCAGACAGTCATGTCATGCGTGTCTTACAAGACCTGATTAACACACAGCCCAGGTACATTTTTAAACACTAACACATCTTTTTTTTTTTTTTTTCTTAATTTTTCCAAGTTATCTTTTATAACCAGTAACTCTAACTATACCTTGCCCACACAAATGTATTCTTATAGTCGTCAAAAGGTCTCTCTGTGGCCGGGCGCAGTGGCTCACGCCTGTAAACCTAGCACTTTGGGAAGGCGAGGCGGGTAGGTAAACTGAGGTTAGGAGTTCCAGACCAGCCTGGCCAACATGATGAAATCCTGTCGCTACTAAAATACAAAAATTAGCCGGGCATGATAGTGGGTGCCTGTAATCCCAGCTACTTGGGAGCCTGAGATGGGAGAACCGCTTGAACCGGGGAGACAGTAGTTGCAGTGAGCCAAGGTTGACCCCTGCACTCTGGCCTGAGTGACTTAGTAAGACTCTCATCTCAAAAAAAAAAAAACAAAACAAAAGAAGAAGAAAAAAAGTGTCTCTGTCCCTGCTTATTTGTCCTGTTGTTTAGAAATGATGAAGGTAGAGACTACACACACTTTTGACTATACTTGAAATCCAAGAAATAAGGCAACAAAGGGTAAAATCGGCATGAACCTCCACCAGACAATCTCACTGCTAAGCTCGCCCCCAAGGAAGAAGAATTCTCGGAGTGTAATTACCCAGCACAGATGCAGAAAGAGTCTACAAGAGAGTTTCTAATTTTGTTGCTGAGAACAAAAAAATCAATTATCCATGCACCCCTCTCTACCCACCTCTGTATGTCTCGTTGTATGTGTCTCTGTGACATACAGAAATGGAAGGTCATGTGATTAATTTCCCAGGGATGCTGGAAGTGGTTGTCTAGGGAAGAATTATTCAAGAGTGAGTAAAGCAGCAACTGCGAAGTTTGCTACAAGCTTTGTAGGGGTGACACAGGCTTCACACGTAAGGAAATCTATCCCGACATTTAGCTGCTATGAACTAGGATTGGAAAGCCTCACTCAGAACAAAAGAACCTGCTACATCTGGCAAATAGAGGAAACCTCTATGATGAAGAATCTTGAGAGCGTGTTAAAACATGAATACACTTATCTCTTAGGATAAAAGTTTTGAAGATATTGACTCAGATATATTATCCGGACAAATTCAGTATTGGAAACTTGGGAGAAAATCCAACCAAAGGCTGATAAGCAGTTATTATCCAAGAGAAACATGGAAGACAGGAAAGCAGAGACGTAGGAAAGAGTGCTGGCCATGGCTATGGCCGGGTTACTGGAGGAATTAAATTTGCCAGAAAGGAAAGGGAGATGCTTGTAAATGAGGGGGAAGGAGGACAAATTATTGCTGCATTATTCTTCCAGTCTCTCACAGTGCTAATAAGAAAGACAACTCACTAATCTGAAAAAAACTTGCAGGCAGCCAAGGAGGTCAAGGAGGAAAAAAAGTAGGAGGTCTCTGAATAAGCAAATCTTTTGGGAAGTTTCTAGACAAGAAAGCAACCCTTTCTTGATTGAGGCATGTGCTTCTATTTTGGCTCCAAGAAAGGAACACTGTAATAAAAGCCTGTCACTGTAAATTAGATTAGGACATTTGTTTATCCAATAATGTGCCAGAAACAGAGAAAAAACTGCATAGGCTGGGTAGAGAAGCACTTACTGCCTTTAACCAAGTCTGAGCATGAACTTGGGACAGTTGTCTAAGAGGCAAAACAAGACAAATGTGAGGACAGCAGAAGGGCAGTTAGGCGCCCGCTGAATCACACGGGAAAATGACTAAAAACATTGTGGAGACAATGACGGTCTCTCTGGTGTGAGATCACAGACTCCAAGGTAATGAATTGAGTTTGCAAAAAAAGGGACAGGAACAGGTTCAAAAATAACATTCTCAAGCCTGCAGCACAGTCTCCCAGCCGAAAGCTCCAGTGCTTCCTGTTGTTGCCAGGCACCATGGAAAGATCAAGGAGCAGGGAGAGGAAAATGGATGTTATGAGGAGCTGGATGCCTCCGGTGTAACAAAATAAAAATGTGAACACTGCATGTAATTTGACTTTCCTTGTCAGCAAGGCAGCTGTTTGTTCTGGATAAACTAAGTCATGACCTTGAAGTTCTATGCTTTGTACCAATGATATTGAGAGTCGAGGGGATCAAAACCCAATATTCAGAGATTTCAGAGCCTCTGAAATGATTGTCTCCAATATATCATGTTCATTTTCTGCCTCAGTACATTTACTTGTTTTTCCTCCTTACTATACCTCTCATCTCTCCCTATACAAAACCAACCTTCAATCTTCCACTCCCACTTCTTCCTTAAAATTGTACCGATTTTCAACCTTTCCTGATATTTCCTAACTTTTAAATTCTTTCAGTTAGTATCACAGAAATTATCATCTAATTGTTTTCTCTTTGTCCCATATGTGTTCATTGCCATTTGTCCTATTTTATAGGACTTTGAAGAAAGATAGAGAATCTTTCTCTCCACCCCCTTAATTCCCAGACTATCTGGAATAGCATTAGGCACAAAGTAAGCCCTCACTAAAGAGTCATTTTTACTAGCTCATAAATGATGTCTTAATCAACAACATTTTCTCTCTTTAAAATAAAATGATAGAATGGCCTGAAAATGAAACTTCACTCATTAAAACAAGCATTAAGAGCCTGGCTGGAAAAATTCAAAGTCTAATTATTAGTTTTCCTGACGTGGCATAGGCAAACATTAAAAATGTAACACAGTCCTAACATTAGAGTGCTGTTTGTATGTGGAATTAAGGTGTAAAGTCATTAAGATGACTGTTCTAGAATCAAAATGGTTTGGAGTCACTCTATGGTGCCATCGGGTATAGACATGTAACTGTGCCAGAGCCAATTTCTTCATTTGTAAAATGACTGCATTAATGGTAACCACCTCAGAAAGTTGGTATTAGGATTAAATGAGAAAATATATTTTAAAAGTTTAGTGTTTGGCACATAGTAAACACCCAACACATATTAGCTAGTTGGAACCTTTACTCACATCTTGGCATTCCAATTATATCTATGGACACAGATTCTAATCAACATCAAAGATATTGTGTTAAAATTCTAAGATTATTAACTCTCACATCTGACCTTAGAGTAGAAGAGTCAATTCAATTTGGTTTATATTTGGAGGAAAATGTAAATTAAAACCAAAGAGCCTTAGTATGGCTCTTTACTGACATGTAAAAAAACTTAGTATTATTTACCACCCACCACAAGCATACAGAGATGATTCAAATAAAATGTTTTGGGTACATAGGATCAGTGAGACATTATACTAGGCAGTGAATGCATAGAAAGAGAAAAAATATTGACATGATTTCTGAATTTTCAAATAATCTTGAAAGCCAGAAAATCAAAAGAGTTGTATACTGAACACCTCAGTTTTCATTCAGTAAGCATTTTTCTTGAGGTTGAGAAGGGTAACAAGAAAATACAGGACTTGGCCAGTGAACTTCAGAAGACAATCAGGTTGTAAAGTCAAACAACAGGTTAGACAATGTTTTAAAAAAATATTTATTTTGGTACACAAAGAAGTACACAAATGCATGATGTAAAAAGTAAGTTTGTGTGAACTGTCAAAGAAGATTTAGAGGGAATAGCAGTGGTGTGCTCATTGAAAAACTGGTTCTGGTCAGGAAGGAAGGACTGATTTTTTTTATTGTTTGCCAATTGCTATTGTGCAAATATTCCCACCATGGCTGATTTCAAGGTACTAATGAGATGTCACTGAATATAGAGTTGGGGAAAGATGGGGATACTCGATTCAGGATCCAGCACACCAGTGTCAGAATTTAAGGAGAAACTTGAAGGACTGACCGAATTGGAGATAATGTAGAGAGTTGAGAAAATTCCAGATGGAGACAATAGCTGGAATAAAGCCTCTGAGTAAAGATTAAGCACAGAATATAAGGGAGATTGTGTGAAGTCAATCTGATTAGAGTACAGTACACATGTTAAGACATGGTGAATTTGAAAAAGTAGCTTCAGACAAGATTTTAGCAATTTCAAGCAAAGTAGACTAAAGGATCATTTAGTAGCAACAGAGGATTCGTTAAAGATTTCTGAGGAGAAGCTGAACTCATGAAATTAAATCTTTAAGGGGAGTGATTGATCTGTTGTATGCTGTCTATATCAGAAGAAGGAAAAAAACAGAGCCCTGGACACCTGTTAGAAGATGAGGAGCACCAGGTCATAGTGGTGGCATTGAGGATGAAAATGTCACTGCTTTTTTATTCCCATAGTTTGGTGAGTGGAAGGGAGTGGTGTCCAGCAGCTTTTCCACTCCCGTAGTTCAGCAAGTGGGAAAGACTGTTACAAGCCCTTTTGTTCATCAGGCAGAAAGGAGCAGCACCCAGTGGCTTTTTTCACTCCTATAGTTCCACGAGAGAGAGTGTTATAGCTCTTTTCACTCCCACCATTTGGCAGGTTCCGGGTTTTGGTACTGAAACCAAGAGGAATGAGGTTTGCAGACACTGGAGAGTAAGCAAGGCAGAGTAGAATTTTATTGATCAACAGAAAAGCTCTTGACAATGAGAGGGGACCCAAGGTGGGTAGCCATCTGTGAGTCTGAGTCTGGGGTTTTTATGGGCTTAGAATGGGGGATTATGTGCTGATTGGTCCATGGGTGGTCTTGAAAAAGCACTATTTGATCGTTAAAAAACATCATCCAGAAGGAACCAACTGAGAGAAAGTGGGTAAGACGGGGATAGTTCTCACTCCGGTTATAGACTCTATCCGGAACTGGCAGTTCATTCCACAGGTTGAAGGTCGAGCCCTACTGGGGAATCACCTTTGTCTGCCTGGAATTTGTCTGTCTACTTTCGCTATCTAAAAGGCAAGAGAGTTGGAAGCAACATTGTGGGGAAAAAATGTTGATAAAGTAGGAAGACTTGTTAGATGTGAAGGAAGAAGAAAAGAGAATAACTAACTTTCACACCTGGCCTTAAGAATAGAAGAATCATCTCACTGAAAGACAGGAGAAGCAACTGAGCAGAAGCTAATTTATGGGGCAGCCAATAGCTTCAACTTTAGAGATGTTCACTTTAAATGCCAGTACTGTCTGCTCTGCTCCCTTCAGAATTCCACAGACCACACGGATATCTGGTTGCCTCTCTATCTGCTCTTTCCTGTCATCCTGAAAGCCCAAACCCAATATCAGAGTTCTCTCCAATTAAACAACAACGCAGAGATTTTAAACTCTTTTTCTTCTTGGAATCATCTTATCCTTCCTATTTCTCCCTCCACCCCTATCTACTTACTCTCTTTCTATCCAATTCTGAGGATTTTTCTTTTACAGTAAATGTTTAGTTTTAAATAATTTCCTCTCCCATAGTATACTCCTATACATTTTAGTACTATGTAATATAGAGTAAATTTAGTATATTCCTATGCTAAAATAATTTGTATTTTAAATACTTCACTTTAGATAAACTGGCATATTTATTATTCCATCCATTCTCCTAAAATATCCTATGAGATAAATGAGGGTAGCTATAATTAACCTCATTCTGTAAGTGGGGAAGTTATGAGAGATAATTCATACAATCAAGTAACTGATACAGAGGCAATCACTGATTTAGGATTTCCTTCTCAATATCCTACCCAATAAACAAAATACTGCTTTTTACCTCTAAATTTCCTTAAAAGGAAGATGCCACACAAATTTATTTTTGTTGTTTATGGTAATTCTAATTGCATTTCAAAGCAATATAAGGTAAAAGCTAAACTAGAATTAAGAATAAATGCCTCATAATCAAAATTCCATTGCCTTTTTCCAAACTTGGCTTGTTTTCTGGGATTATCTATAACAACTAGAAAGTGAAGACCACTAAACAAAATTCTAAAGAAGATAATCCTAATGCTTTTTTATTTTGTGTGCCATAATTTACTACTCAAATAACAAAAATTAGAAACCAAGTACTTAGATTTCATTACCATCTTTAGCCTGGACATCAAAACCTTATAACTTTCAGTAGCTTTGTAAACAATAGGATGTATTTAAATACAAACAATTAGAAATAAAGAGGGAAACAATGCAAGGCAGTTTCAGATCCAAAAGGTGCTTACTCTGTAAGGGTCTCAAACTGCAGTCTCCTCACGTCTCAGATCCTTAGCAGAAGACATGCAATCAAGCCTCTATTCTGAGCTGAATGCTTCTAACTTATTAATTCTAACAGACAAGATAAGGGGAAAGAAAACCTCTCAAGCATGTAAATTTCATTGTTTCAATGTATAAGTAGTTTTAACCCTGAAGGGTAGCTCGCCAACCACTGAGGAACTCTTGAATGCTGAATGATGTTCTTCAATTCCTCTTTTTGAGTTCAACATAATTATTTTGTATATGAACAATGATTCCTGAAAACACTGGCTTTAAAACTTAGACCAGTTTTTTCTAATATTGGGAAACAGGCCTCTAAGAAGCAATAGGGTTACAAGGTCTGAAGCAATATGGATATAAGCATGTTGAATGTAGACTGAGTGTCTAATAGTCTTGTATTTATAGAATGAGGTTGATGAGAGCCTACCCTCGCTTATCTGATAGTATTTTTTAGGATAATGGGTGAAATTATAAATATTCTAGCATAATTCATAGTCAATTTTCTAATTATTTATTGTCCAATCAATGGACTTAAAAACGTAATTACTACCTCTTTGGCATTTTCAAAATATTTTGCTACTATGCAAGGGTTTCTTACTTAAAAAAAAACGTAAGGCCCATTACTTAAATTTTAGGGTGGGAAACATATTGCACTCCTGGTGGGATCATTATTTAATGTGTTGTGATATTTTCATTTTATATGAGAAAATATTTTTAATCAGTAAGCAAACATGGGAACCACGTATAATAAAACGAAATGTAGACAGGGAAAGGTTATTATAAGGCTTCCTCAGATTTGGCTGTTACTGTGAACTCTCTTTAGAAAATGTTCCATCTGAAAAATGTGAACATAGCCACTTTATACTTTCCTTATTCATGGCAGTATTTTCAACATTTTTAATTTTCATAATAATAGTGAGGTAATACCTGTAAAATGCTTTGGAGAAAGGGACTATGTAAATGTAAAACATCACGATTATTACTCTGCAATAAATTCCAGCTAACATAGTAGGTAATTAAGGGAGAGAGCTAGGGAGTAATTAAAAGTAATTGATATCTCACCATCCTTGCAAGGTGCTGTTTTGGCTGTTCATCAATGCCTTCAAAGTAGTGTCAAGTACAAAAAATAAATAAATAATTGTTAGATGAAAGCAGAAACCTGTCAAATCCCTTTTTTCCAACCAGTGCATTCTGATATACAGTCTCAAAAAGGATTCTCAGTAATTCACAAATTCTGTTATTAACAGAGAACAAATAAGACATTACAGAGTCCATAATAGCATCTAAGGTCTTTATGCTTTTCACATGAGGGAGGATTGATGGAAAATAATCTCAATACTTACTGCTTGTTTTGGGGGATGCAAATATAAAGTAAGCTGTTCAGCATTCAAAAACACATATTGCTTAATTGCATGAAGAATATGAGGCTAAAAAATTTGTTAGCACTGAAATCTCACAGAGATTCCTTTTGACTCCTTCATTTCCAGCTGAAATTTCACTGCCTGGTCTTTAAATCTTGAGCAGGTCATAGTCATCCCCACTGGCATGAGTTTGGTCATTTCTCTCCTCAAAATGCCCCGCCCATTTTTCTCTCCTCACTCAAATCTTGTCCATCATTCAAGGCCTGCTTTCCTATGACTTCACTTTTCTTTGTTTTGTTTTGTTTCGTTTTTTGAGATGGAGTTTCACTCTTGTCACCCAGGCTGGAGTGCAATGGCATGATCTCAGCTCATGGCCACCTCCGCCTCTTGGGTTCAAGCGATTCTCCTGCCTTAGCCTCCCGAGTAGCTGGGATTACAGGCATCTGCCACCACGCCCAGCTAATTTTTGTATTTTTGGTAGAGACAGGGTTTCACCACGTTGGCCAGGCTGGTCTTGGACTTCTGACCTCAGGTGTCCACCTGCCTCAGCTTCCCAAAGTGCTGGGATTACAGACATGAGCCACCACGCCCAGCTATGACTTCACTTTTCAAAGAGAATTCAGAAGTGTCATCCTAGGACCATTACTGGAATTTCTTACTCCAAAACTTTAGTAATTCCTAAGCACCCCAGTCACACAATAACAGAGCATCCACATATTTAGAAAATATTTTCTGATCAAGGTTATGGCATGTTTTCTGGAATAGGAAACCAACAGGAAATTTGGAAATCTTTTGGTTTTCTTTCAGACTTTTATGATGTTAGGTCATTAGTAGTCCATATGCAGTCATGTTGGGGTAAGGCAGCAGATGGGCAAAATTGACCAGGGTCAATTATTTTGTATGCAGGAAGAGTCTCCTAGATTTCTTTAACCTAGTGGTGAAACCAGGTCTATAATAAATAGCATAGAACAATATTTTGTCTGCCCTGACACTACATCTCCAGAGTGGATTCAGAATTTTCTCCAACTACTTTTAGCCTATAGATAATGCCTGCTCATTTCTAGCAACAGGTTTTTTTTTTTTTTTAATATTTTCCCTTTCTTTTTCTCCCTTCCTTGTGATAGCTCCCTGTGAGAGCTACTTCTGAAATTTATCATGTCATTGAAGCCACCACTTCCACTGAGACAGCCTCCTGCTTAAGGTATCACTACCACCAGTTACGAAGCCTAGCAGAGTCTGCCTAAGTCTTGAAATATGCCTAGAGAAGTTAGAATCTTAGGAATTTAGTTAATGTCCGGGTTGAGATTCCACAAGGTGGTCAGCAAAGGTAGATATAAAGAAATAAGTAACGTCCATTTACAGGACTTGCTATGCCAGGTTTAATGACAGTACATCCTTTCTTCAGTTGGTCCTTAACAATAATCTGGTAGAGGATACGAAGACATGCAAAAATTAAGTAATTTCCCCAAGATCACATTATTTCAAAACCAGAACTACAATTCAAGTCTGTGTCATTTCAAAGCCCTCTGTCCATTGCACGCAACTATATAGTCTGGCATTCAAAAGGCATCAAGTCCACTAAGAGTGCTAAAAATGTGAGCACTGGGTGAGATCTGGCTATTTGCTCTCTGGACTGTTTTACTATCAGTTGAGTATGAGAATTTTGTACTTACCCACAGTGGTTACAATCAAGAAGCTTCTAGAAACTACAGGTGAATGAATCTGACCTTCAGAGAACCTGGGACAGAAAAGACAGAATTTTCTCCCAAATGTGAATAGAAAGGATAACATAAAAGAAAGTCAGCATGGTACTTCAGTCTTCTGGAGGACACTTACAAGTCAGTAATTTTATTTCAATGGCTACTGTAGGTAGATATAGGTCTCTTTGCTACTGAGAGACAGTTGCCTTTCTCACTTAACAGCATCCCTCAAGTTGAAGCACCATGAGAAACACAACAAAGGCATGTCGTCAATCAGACATTGGCTTGCTATTTTCCATGAACTTGACATATCCCTGCTTTCCCATATGCCTCGCCTCCTCCTGCTAAACATTGCCTTCCCACTCTCCCTCCTCCTCTTCATTTGTCACCTTCTGTTCCCTCCCCTGCTTCTTCTGTTTTCAATTTAGTGAAGTTAAATGTTTTAAGTGTGAAATAATACGCATTAAACTGAGGCTCTTCAGGAGGACAATGGAAATATATGCACCAACCCTCTGTGTGTGTGTCTGTGCGTGAATATAATATATTAAGCCATAGAAATAATATTCACAATAATATAGTATGGGACCTGAAATAAATGTGAGACGGGTGAGTTAAGGTGTTAATAAAAACATAAAGTATGTCTCAGGGCACTCTAACTGTCCTTCTTTGAACCTCAATATCCACTGCTATCTATGTATCACTGTGAAAGCACTGGCAAATACAAGAAGCTCTGATAGCTATTTTGAAGAGTAGTGTAAAGGTCTGCATGACTCTGAATGTTTTGAATATATCAACATGACAACATAGCATCTACTTGGCTATCAGTAAGGGTGATGATAAATTAGAGCATTACACATTTCTCCTATGTTAAAGAACCTCAAAACACTATATAGCTGACAACCAAATTTACAGAGATCTCAAGCACAACAATAAATAATGTCCTTTGTACAAGGAATCTTTAAAGACTAGTGATCTCTGAGGCAGAGTTCATAGTACAGTGATAACTGAATTAACACAAATCTCCCCAAAACAAAGGTATAGATGTGGGCACGGTTGAGATTTCTGTTGCCATCCTTAGCACAAGGTCAGAAGAATTGAATGAGGAAGACAAGATAGTGATGACATTTTTCCAAGCAAATCAGTTCTGGGCCTGCATGACACAAAGGCACATGTTGGGGAATTGCATAAGGCCTCAGCCACCTGGGAATTTGGGGGCAGGGGTGCAGCTGGATGTGATCCCTCTTTTTTTAAAAAAGATTTAATCTTGATTGTCCCAAACATTTAATGGAATACTAGCACATAGTAGCTCTTACATAAAATTTTCGTTACTTAAAATTCTCTTGCACTCAGAAATTCACAGGAGCCTCGCACTTTCTTTGTCATCACTTCATACATACCCTCCTGGGCCCACCTTTGTGACACTGTTGGTTTTGTGTCCTCTGCTCTCCACAGTGCCATACTATACATTCTGAATGGCCCGCCATGTGGCCTCCAGGAGAGTGAAGTTCTTTTTTCACCTTTTAATGTTTTTCTTAGGCTCTGGTGGGTTTATGTAGGTTCCGTTTTCTTCTCAAAGAGTTGGGGTGGTTGTGGGTAGATTTGTATTTCTCTGTAATGGTGAGCTAAGTTTTTCAGATTAATGTTCCCACAGAAAACAAACAAAAAATTCTCATTTGTTTCTCATCTCTCGGGGATCACAGTCCTTAGTTGCCCAGCGTCATTGTCTTGAATGTGATAGCTTCCTATATTTGGTCCAGTTTTTTGTTTAATGTGGGAGGGTGTTATGTTTTGAGTGTGTCCCGTCCACAATCCAAGTTTTGCCAATATGATAGAGGCAGAGCCTTTATGAGGTGATTAGACTATGAGGGCTGCTCCCTTGTTAATGGAACTGGGCCCTTTTTAAAGAGCCTTCATGTAGTATTCGGCAAGGTTGCTCTTCTGCACTTCTGCCCCGTGAGGATGCAGCAAGAAGGCCCTCATCAGACACCAGATGTCAGTGACTTGATCTTGGACTTCCAAGCCTTCAAAACCATAAGAAATAAATTCCTGTTCTTTGTAAATTACCCAGTCTCAGATATTTTGTTGTAGTAGCACAAACACACTAAGACAGGGGTAAATCAGGTCTCTGTTACTCCATCTTGACTGGAAGCAGAAGTTGTCTTCATGACACAAGAAACCCAGAGTGACCATCTTGACCAAAGCAGACTTGCTTTCATAGCCTTCTCAATTTGATGTCAACTTTAAGTGGAGAAACTTTCCTTACTGGTGTATTGTAAAGATAAAACTCAGGAACAGCCAGATGGGAGAGATACACAGGACAAGTTATGGAAGATGCTGGGGGAACTGAATTTCCATGTGCTCTCTGGGTATGCCGCCCTCTGAATACATCAATGTGTTCACCAACCAGGAAGTTCCTGCTGGGTTTGATCTTGTTTTGCTTCCAAGAGAAGCTGGGACATCCAAACACTCAAGATTGAGAATGCATAGGCAGAAAATGGAAAAGCACAAGCAGAAACATTTCTTCCTGAGAGAATAAGAGGAAGATATCAACATTTTGAAGCATTCCCTAAGCCTTTTCATATTACTTAATAGCAGGAATAGTAGTGGAGATAGGCTTAGCAAGAAATAACTGCAAGTCAGTGTGATCAATGCTATAATACAGATATGTAAGAAAACTGTCATGGTGGAAGAAGAAAGAGTCGAGTCCCTTCTTTGACTTTGAGATGTAAAGATTTTAAAGAAGGTATCAGAGGAGAAGTTATGTGAGGGAAAATGTTGAATCATGAGTTGCAGTTGGATAGAACGATGGGGTAGAAACTTCAAATGGTTTAAAAAAAAAAAAAAAGCCTATGTAGACAAAGAGGGTGTTTAGGAAATATGAAAGCCAGTCACAAGTAGAAAAGAGCATGCCATGGGGAGTGCTCAGAATAAAGTGTTGAAATGTATAACAGAGTTATATGCTGAAGTATTTTGTAAACAAATCTATACAGTTTAAATCTGGAACAATGCTAAGCAGAAGTGTGACATAATCAGATTTTTATTTTTAAAAGATAAGTCAGAAAACAGTATAAATCATGAATCAAAGGTGGTACTGAGATTTCTGGATAACAAATGAAACTACCAAATAGCTACTGAGGAGTCAAGGCAAGAGATCATAATAATATCATTAATCATCATAATCTATACTGGATGTATAGATGAAAGGAAAGATAGATAGAAGAGAAATGGAGGAGATGGAGATCTCAGGTAGTCATATTGGATATAGAGGGTTAGAGGGAAAGAAGAGACAAACAAGAAATTAATATTTTTCTGCTTGAGGGACAAAGTAGATGGTGATGCTATCAATCAAGGCAGAAAATATATCCCAAATGTCTATTGTTTCCATAGTCTTCCATGTGATAGGAACAGATCCTCATCTTTTACCTCAAAGCTTTTATTTTTTAAAATGTGCCCACAAACTACTAAGTTAGGTAGAGTCACTATGTTGTGCCTATCATGTTCCTTCTCTCTGGCTTAGGCTCCCATTCAACTACATCTGCTTCCCACAGTGCAACTTGGAAAAACTGCCTCATCTACCACAAGAACATGATTTGTCAATGACCACATCAAAGATACTATACCTGAAGGTATAGTATTTGATCCTAAGGCTTCCTTATTTACAACCTTCATAATTCCACTGAGTTTTATGCCAATGCAGAGGACTGGGGATGGGCATGTACACTATAATTTCTCCCCCATCAGAATTTATGCTATGTAAATGCAGAAATTTTTATCTGTTTCACTTACTGTAATTTTTTTTTGTATCCATGCAAAGATTTTTTGTTTGACCAAACTTTAAGTCAGGCTACTGAACCTTCTCCTAGGCCCATCTGTGTACTTCCTTGTAAAATGTAGTTTTAACAAGACTTCTACTAAATCTCTTTAGTAAGAATCCCCCATCCTTGATACATAATTACCCTCAATAACCAATCACAATTTCTCACTCCCTACTCTTGATAGCTCATCAACCTGGCTTGCATTCAGCAGGAATCCTGTTAGGCCATTTCAACCAGAATTGCCTAAGACAATATCTCCTTTTAGTAATTTTTCATCTGCAAGCCACCATGTTCCTTGGCTATAATTCCCACTTGTCCCACTTGTATTCACAATGAAGCCCAGTTCAATACTGAGGTCTCTTTTCCCCTATTGCAATAGTCCTGAATAAAATTAGTCTTGCTTTCACAATTGTTGTTGCATTGCCCTCTCTTGCCATTCCAACTTCTGTGACAAGATGTTGCAGCATAAAGGCCCTCACCAGATGCCAATGCCATGCTCTTGCACTTCCCAGCCTCCAGAACCATGAGCCAAATACATTTCTATTTCTATAATTTAGCCAGTCTGTTATAATCTGTGATAGCAGCATCTTTTCTTTTGGATATATACTCAGTAATGAGATTGCTGGGTTGAATGTTAGGTGCCTTTTGAGTTCTCTGAGTAATCTCCAAACTGTTTTCCACAGTGGCTGAACTAATTTACACTCCCATCAACAGTTTATAAGTGTTCCCTTTTCTCCATAGCCTCACTAGCATCTGTTGTTGTTGTTTGACTTTTTAATAATAGCCATTCTGACTGGTATGAGATGGCATCACATTGTGGTTCTGATATACATTTCTCCGATGATTAGTGATGTTAAGCATTTTTTCATGTTTATTGGCCACTTGTATATCTTCTTTTGATAAGTGTTTGTTCATATCTTCTGCCCACTTTTCAGTGGAGTTATTTGTGGTTCTTTGTTGTTGTTGTTTAAACGTTTGAGTTTCTTAAAAATTGTGAGTATTAGACTTTTGTTGTATGCATAGTTAATGAATATTTCCCCCTATTCTGTAGGTTGCCTGTTGACTCTGTTAATTATTTTGTTGTACAGAAGCTCTTTAGCTTAATTAGATCACACTTGGCAATTTGTTTTTTTTTGTTTTGTTTTGTTTTGTTTTGTTTTGTTTTGTTTTGTTTTGTTTTGCAGTTGCTTTTAAAGACTTAGTCATAAATTCTTTCTCAGGGC